CACAGGAAATCATCTTTTTGACTGACACTTTTCTTATTTTGTTTTCCCCCTCTGAAGAAAGTGCTGCCGGACACGCATGCCAAATTCCACGTCTTGTTTCTGTTTTTCGTGGCTGCCCTGTTCTTTGTCAGCGTCCTGTCACTACTCGGCTACCATCTGTGGCTCGTGGGAAAGAACAGGACGACTATAGGTAGTTATTCATATATTTGTAATGTAATTCAACTTCTGAGTATAGAATTTTAAAAGTCAAAACTGACAATATTTTCCCCCTTATTTTCAGAGGCATTTCGGGCTCCTGTGTTCGCAAACGGTCCAGAAAAAAACGGGTTTTCTCTTGGCTTTAAGCGAAATGCAGCTGAGGTATTTGGAGACCAAGGGAAGTACTGGATGTTTCCTGTTTCCTCAAAGTAAGACAACTGTCACCTTGGAAATCCTTTAATGGAGTGAAGACTCCAAAAAAACCATTCACCCTGAATCCATCCAATGCTTACATGTTTACTTATGCTCTTTTAATCTCTGTTTTATCAGTCTGGGAGATGGACATTCCTTTGTTACCAGATTGGTACACATAGATCCTGAAAGAGCCAACGGTATCCTTCAGCAAAATGGCAAAAGGTTTGTAACGTTTTTTTTTAACATAGCTTTTTGAACATAAAAGCATGGAAGCATCTCACAGTAGAAGTGCAAAATACAAATATGAACCTTGAAAGGAGCAGAATAGGGCCCCGTTTTATTGTATCCATTTCTTCTCAGTTTTGTTTGCTGTGTTTAATCTCTAATGGGAATTGAATTACAGCCTTGCCGATGGGAAGCCCGACCCTTGTGTCCATGGTAACAATATACAACACACAGCAGACGACAGCAAAGAGAACATAGGTTTGTTGATGATGCCCTTCTATCACAATTTTTGCTCATTGCGGTTTATATGTTTTCAATATTACTTTCATGTTCAAACATCAAGCATTTAACAGTGCCTCTTGTTTCCTAATTTTCAGACGGAGGACAGACAGACTCTGTAAAAGTGGAGAATGAGCAATAGCAGGTATGTGAATAGGATGTGAATGCTGTACAGTTTTGCAGGTTTGTCTTCCTTTATTGATTTCCACCTTGTTGGCTGTTACTGCAGGTCGCAGGTACATTACATCAGCAAACCATGATGCCTTAAACCAGGAGCATCAGCCCCGCTACAGGAGCCGTCCTCCACCTTCATCTTGAGTACAAACCTCAAGCCACTTGTTTTGCACATACATTTATTTGACCATCTTTCATCCAGCGTGTTTTGAGCCAGCCCCGCAAGAATACTGTTATCATGTCAACAGGGACCTCGTAGACGGGAGCAGATGTGATTCGTCTTTGTTTTGAGCCAAAGACATTCAAATAATGTTTTGTCATTATTGCGTCTGAAAGAATAACGGACTGCTTTTTTCCATCTTGAGCCAATTGATTGTCCGTCTATATGTACATTAATCCATTATACATTCCTAATAGAGAATCATTCTCTGTCAGTATTAATCAAGCATTAATAACTAATCAAGAGCAGAGGGAGCCATTAATGCGAGATGTGTATAAATCCTACAAAATGGTGCGACATCGCAATTATTTATTCCAGCAGTCAGTTATCAGTTACAGTTTACATGATCGAACAATTTCAAAGGTCTTTCTTTTTACACTTTTAACATCTTTTGTTTACATTTCAAATGTTATACTATGGTCAGCAGACAGGTGATGTAAGCTTAAATGTGTGGACCAAATCCAAACTCCACTTAAAATTGTTTAATCTAAAAAAAGAAATCTCATTGCACAATACATATTTGTTATTTATTTGTTGACAAGCTTTTTATAAATTAATTGTATTTGAATGTCTATTTATTTTAATTTGTATGATCATTATGTTTAATTTATTTAGTTTTTTAAATGGGCATTGTCCTTTTCCACAGATGTTTTCATGATCAATCCTTTGCTACAGTATGTGTTTTAAATTAATCACTCTTGTGTTAATACCAATGATCAAATATGTCTCCTTTCTTGTTTTCTCACAGGTAATAGTTTAAACATTTTTTTTATTTGAACTTAAGAGCACAAAATGTAACCCCATATAAAACTGTAAGAGGATATTGTCAGAAAGGTCAGTGACCTTGACTTGCTGTGTCCTTGAGTCTGAGCCAGGATAGATAAGACATACTATATAATGATAGAGGTATTTAGCTAGTGTCATCACAAATGCTCCTCTCTCTAATCCTGGCAGCTGTTTTATTGTATTACATTCATTTGAGTGGAGATGATGCACAGTGCAGTGTGGACGTATGCCTGAATGATCAGTAGAACATATTCATGTGTATATGTTACTTCCTGGGTGCTGGCCCGTGTGCATGTACTCGCAGAATCTCACGGTAGTTTAACAACTAACTCTACTCACTGACCTCTGTGAACTTTGCTTAATGCACCACCAAGCCGCTAAACCTACAGCAGTGAGGTCTGTAAAGAACTGTTCAGGCACGATGACCTTCATTGATCTGTAACAATAAACATAATGTCAGAAACTCAAAGGTGTGATTCTTCATTTCAAACACTGGTTCAGTGGGATTTCTAAGACATTTCGAGGAGTTAAACATTCGTACCTGATTGAAAACAGCTGTGCAGAGGACAGTGGAATACAGACACCTCTTTAGATGTTTTTCAGAGGCTGCTTAAACTAAAGATTTGTCCAGATGTGGATGTTAAGACAGATTCAAGATTCAAGGCTTTTATTGTCATTCGTACACAGTGTAGTTATGTCAATGAAAATCTTAGGTCCCAGGCTCCTCCAACAACACAATAAAACAGATAAAATAGTGCAAGTAAATACAATAAAATAGAATAGAAGTAGTAATAATATTCTGCCTCAGTAATGCAAGCTCTTCACAATTAATTATGAAATAGGAGAAAGTACTCGCAACCATATGTGTTAAGAAAAAGAAGTGGTGGAATACATTTGTTACTGATAAAAACAGCAGAATTATTCTACTAAACATTTTTTTAAAAGCCATTCTGCATGGGTACTTTTACTTTTGATACATGACGTACATTTTACTGAGAATACTTCCTAACTTCTACTTAAAGGTAGGGTAGGTAAGTTTGAGAAACCGGCTCGAGATCGCTAGAATTTGAAAATACACAACCGGAGAAAATCTGCCACTTCCTTACAGAGCCCCTCCTCCAACACACACGAACGCGCACATGACCAATGAGGGCACGAGATAAGTTTGTGCACAGATGGAAGGCTGACAGGCAGGTAGGCCATCCAATCATTTTAGCCGGCCCGGCTAAAATGATTGGTCGTACTTTTTACAGTATTACGGCTTCCGGAGATGACATTTTTTAATGGATTTTTTGTCAAAGCACTTAAGATATTTATTGCTATCGGGATGTTAAGAGCATTCCATGGAATATAACAAAAAGTGTATCTCGAGCCGGTTTCTCAAACTTACCTACCCTACCTTTAATTATTAGTTTAAATTCAAGATTTTCACTTGTAATGGAGTATTTTAAGACCATAGTAATTCTGCTTTTACTCAAGTAAAGGACCGGAGTACTTTTTCCACTACTGAATAATATTAAATAGTAGCTTGTGATCCAATACAAGGCATGTAACAACTTGTACTTGCCTACTTTATATAATAATATGTTATTTGTGAAATTGTATTTACACTTGGCTTTAGGGATGTCAACGCTGGCTGGTCCACCACTCTGGTCCAGACCAATAATCTCCAAATATCTCAACAGCTATTGAACACATTTCTTTGATTATTTGTACAGACGGATGATTTCTCGAGGACGAATTATAATTTTGGTGAACCCTGACTGTTTTATCTAGCGTCAATGAAGGTAAAAATGTCTGTTTATGACCACATCCCTGCAACGCTTCAGGCATTTTCATCTCAGCTGAATTTGTCTTAATGCTTATTATCAGATCTAGCATCCATGGATGTCAAATCAGACCAGGGGCTAAACCCTTAAAGCCCCCATCCTCTTATTTTTGGAACCATTGCTACGACCACAGCTTAAATTTGACCTCAACGACACATCTGTAAAGCTTTGTGATGACAAATCTGGCCAGGGGCATCAAGCAAGGTCCATCAAAATGGGTTGCTATTCACTTTTTCAGTTAAATAAAATAAATTGTCAGTTGTCAGAGCTGACATATTCAGACTCAGGGAAGGTGTTTCCTGGATGTTGAATTGTTTTATTTTATTTCTCTGGTACAGCACTAAGTGGCGGCTAGCTGGGAGAGAGGTGAATGACACTGAGGCCGTTCACCTCTCCAAGACAACGCTACAGATTAAGCTGTCATTGTGTCAGCGCTACTTTAAAAATGTAAACCTTTTTGAGCTTTTGTTAACTTCTTCAATTACTTATTAGACTTTCAAACATTTTACATTTTTTGCAATGTTTTTATTAATTCATGGTATCCCACTTTATTGTAATACTGACATTTATTTATCTCTCGCTCAAGAAAAGGTCATGCTCTGATATACTCAGTCTATCCTCCAAATGTTCTCAGAGTGAATGCCATTTATGTGTAATAGATGAATATTTCAAAAAGTTGAACGCTAATTGTATTTTTCACCAAACAAATGGGTTGTATTAAAATGTATGTTTTCTGAACTTTTCTAACACTATTTATAGAAATAATCTGACATAAATCAAGAATCCTATACCGAAGATTTGTAGAGGGAACTGGGCACCGTAATGTGACAATTTAATTACAAACTAATGTAAACTACTAATTAATTTGGTGAGAAACAACACACCCTGTCAAAGTTCATCCCTCCTCATACTTAATGGGTCCCACCCTTTCGAATCTTACCTTTTTCTTTATTACATTGACAACTTAAAGTCTGTGAATGAATAATCAATGATTACCTTCTGAGGTTTTCCCATAAACTTGTCAAGTGTCATTCCCCTTTTACTCCTTAGAAGTCTCCTAAAGGATAAAGTACACTTGCATTTGAACCTCCCACTTGAAAACACCGGCAGACACTGCAATGCAAAGGAAGCAGATAATTAAAGTAACTATTGAAGAGACTTCCTCAAGGAGAGAAGGTGAGGTTACATTTTTAAACTATTAGTGAATTTTTCAAGAAGAATATCAGCCATGGATGAAGCTCTCAACATCACCATTGATCCAGCTTGTTTACAAGATCCCCCGCTGGCTATTGACGTGATAAAGCGTAAGTGGCCTATATTACCATATCCTGCTTGCTGATAATGTTTCCTTATCAACTAATCTGAGCTAATGACGAAAACAACTCACTCGTGTGTGAAGCTGTCTTGAATGAGACATATCATTTAAATGTGTTCTTGTTTTATTTGCCTCTCTTCCTAAAATGTGACACAATTTTCTTTTAACCCAAGTATTGTGCTGATTATTTCACACAAATAGCATTGCGACGTATGAATACTAATCTGGTTCCCTTTCTGTTTTTAAATCAGAGCTAGATGTGTTTGATTTCTGCCTGTACCTCATGCTCACCTTCATGGCCTGCGTATCCCTGCTGCTGTACCTGGAGCAGTGCGCTTATATTTATAAAAATCTGCCCTACCCCAAGAAGACCACCCTCATGTGGATAAGTGGTGCTGCACCAGTAAGCATTTGGGTTTTTTTATTTTTATATATTGTGCTATTTCTTATACCAATATGTGAAACAAATCATTATTAACCTCATAGAATCCTAAAGTATGCCCATTAATGAATTGCTCTTTTTTTTTAGGTCATTGCCACAATGTCTTGTTTTGGGATGTGGATCCCGAAGGCAGTCATGATCACAGATATGACCTCTAACTGGTACGTTTCACCAGCTAAATTAGTACCCAGGGAAAAGTATTTTCTCACACCGTAAAGTTTTTTAACAGCGGAAATATGATATAGTAGGATATTTACAGAAGTCCTCTCTTAGACTCTTACTTTAAACATATCAAATGATCAGTTGTCTGCTATCGCATCGCTCTGACCGGAAGCTAGTTCTCACTTTGTGAACTCAGATATCCTTTTTTGAAATCCACATCTTTCTTTACTATGTTTTAATCAATATATCTTTATTCAAATCAACACCTTTCTGCCTTTAAAACTCCCCGGCAAACGTGCACCCCTGGTATGAATAAGCTAAAGAACATGGGAGGATGTTTTAACCACGTGTTGAATCATTACACACACCCAGAATGCCTCATCACTAACCTGCACGTGCTCAACTTCAATAAAACACAGGAACATTTTATAGGCTCTTGCCACCTTTAGTTATAGCCTGCATTTTATGTGTTTTCTGATTTACGAGATTTAAGCACAGAACGTACAGTACAGCATGTGTTTCCCATTTGTACTCACTGTCAGAAAACAAGTTCTCTTCTTTGTAATCAATTAAAACAATTGGCATATGGCTTTCTTGCTGAAACCACTCAAGTCAAATTTAACAAACTGTGAAAGAAAAGTCCATGTACCTGAAGTGTTTTCTTTTTAAGAATCACTTCTCTTTATCTGTGTAGTTATTTTGCAGTCGTGGTGTATAAGGTCTTGGTTCTGATGATCGAGGAGTTGGGCGGCACCAATGATTTTCTGCAGAGATTTTCCACGGAGACCTTTCGGGTCAACACAGGCCCGTGCTGCTGCTGCTGCGCCTGTCTACCCCGCGTGCACATGTCACGGTATTTATACCCGCCTACACAAATACTACCATTCTGCCTTCAGCAATTGAAACCTGTGATCTTTTACTGTTTATATAGAGATTTTTAGGCAATTTAATCATGCTCTTATTTATATTCATTCATTCTCTCTATTGACTGCACATTGTGAACATTTCTAATGAGTATATTTCTTTGTATGGGATCATTCAGGCGATTGTTATTCTTCCTGAAGTTGGGAGCTCTTCAGTATGCAATCCTAAAGACGGTGCTCTCCATCCTCTCCATAGTCTTGTGGACAAACGGCAACTTTGATCTCTCTGATGTAAGGGTTTGATAAGTGTCATATCTCACTGCGCTGGATATTAAGTGAACTTGACATGAACAAAGCATTTGTTTTGCTTCTTTTTCAGTTAGAGATTACTGGTACAGCCATTTGGATTAACCCGTTCATTGGCATTCTCACTATCACATCCCTTTGGCCCGTTGCCATCATCTTCATGAACGTTAACAGCCATCTACGCAGCATCAACTTGGTACCCAAGTATGCCATCTACCAGGTGAGTCAATACAACCAACACTTAAAGTACACTATTCTCAATGTTCTTTCTAGCAAAAGCCTTGGTGAAAAACAGTATATGCATCCTTATCAGGAAAGCAAAACAGAAAGTGAAACATCTAGGGTGTAATCTCTCTGTTGCAAATCTCTAGCCAGATGGTTGAGGTTAGACTCAAAAGATCATGATAGGTTCTGACTTGAAGGAAACCCTTGGTTGATAACCCGTCTTTTTTTACACTACAACACTCAGGTTCAGTAGTCTTACCTTTCACAATACAATTCCTACTCATATTATATTTGCCTGTGAGTATTTCGCTTTTCCCTGTTGTTTCTTCAAGGCCTTTAAGGTTAGGATTGGCCTCGGATGGTAAGGTTAGGAGGATACACCATGGCGCATCTCGTGAGAGGTTTCACAGTTTTGCAAATCGGGGGTAACCATCAATACAAGTCTGTGTTATACCGACAGATCATCAAAGCTTAAAAGTCAGGAGTCTCAGTTTATAAAAACGAAAGCAGTACAAATGAGTGTCGCACAGAGTTTTCACACCAATCTCCTTGGCTTGAGTTGCGTTTGTTTGGGGTCATAATACAAAACTTTTGCTAGAAAACTAGATATTGACATATGATGCACTGCATAGAGTATGTAACTAATCAAGTCTTGGTTTTCTCATCAGCTCGTACTCGTACTGAGTCAGCTGCAGACATCAATCATTAACATCCTGGCATTGAATGGCACCATCGCCTGCGCCCCTCCCTTCTCTTCTCAAGCTCGTGGCTCCAGTAAGAAACCTCTCTGAAAGTCAGCTGCTCATGTGTGTAGTCAAATAATCCATCTGACACCCTGTTTATGTCTCTTTCCCTCTCTGTTGTGCAGTGCTAAGTCAGCAGATGATGATCATGGAGATGTTCATCCTCACTCTGATCAATCAGAGACTGTACCGTCGTACGTATGACGCACTTCCCTCAGAGGAGGCACATGACAACAACCACAACGCTAAAGTCGCCCTGCAGACTGCCCTCGTGGAGCATGATGTCTAAAAAAGGAGACAGTGATGTAAGAGTGGAAGTCAACACTGCTCTTAATGATGTGTCAAATCCTCTAAATTGAGAGATAATCAAATATCCCAAACTTTAGTGTTATATAATATTATTTGGATATAACTTGTTTACCTCATTCCATGATAGAAAAAAATATATTAACTGTTGAAAGTGTAGTTTTTTCAATATTTGATGTATGTATAGTAAAAAACGTGGACAAAAGGTTTATCAATATTTGTGAACGGGAGAACATCATTTTTACATTTGTCTAGTAAAACTTAGTGTGTGAGAAACATACAGAGAGATATGGCCATCCAATAATGGTGACTTTGGTCAATGTGTGGATGCTGAAATGAGTCCTAAAATGATATCTGATGCTTTGTGTTTTTGTACTAAAGTGTACAGTAAATAAAGATGGATATGTTTTTGTCATGAAAGGGCTCAGGTTGAATGTATTGTACTGAGGATATATTTGATAAAAAGGATCTATTTTCTCTTCTGTTCCCAGTGTACAGAGTAAAATGTTTTTGTCTTTACGCAATCTGGGGAAAACAGCCAGATTTCTTCAAAGATTGCTGACCCACTTACTCAGACCTACTTGAGACACAGACGGATGAGACAGCAGCTTTATTTTCAGACTCAGTGTACACCCAACATCCGCCTACAGCCAAACTGTGTTGTTTCATAAGCAACCACAAGAGGCCATGCTCGTCCAACCAAAAAAGTTGACTCACATGATTAATATTTATTATTTCTTTCAGTTCAACCAGAACTAACAGGTTTAGTCAGTTACTTATTTTAGAAGGAATAATTCAATAATTCAAGAATGTTTGTACCAAGCCCAACATCCAATAAACTGTCTAAAAACATCAAACAAACCGGATACCCAATGTCTTTTTAGGTATTTGCTTAATTACGACTTACTCCTTAAGTGATATGTTCTTTGTTGCCTTCTTGCAAATCTTCCCAAACATTTGTATCACATCAATCAACAAAAAATGTGTAGGAAATAATTACTTGAGCATGTTTTTCATAAATCTCTTTTGAACTTTTACCAAATGCTGTCATCTAAAAAAAACCTGTTCAAAAACACATTTAGACATAATATTATTGGCAAAACTAAACAATAAGAAAGACAACTATAATATACAATTTAGTTAAATCAAATGTTATTTCCCTGAATCGTGTCATTCACTTACATTTCATTAATAACTCTCAAATGTGTGATTGTCTTCAGGACCGCAGTTTACTCTGTTAAGGTTGTTAAAAGGTCACCCCACCCCCCACACAAGATTGATCACTTTTAATGATTGAATTAATTTGATTAATCAGTATTTTGTACAACCAAAACAACAGTATCCCTTCGTGGATGCATTGCATTTGTTTTTGTGTTATATTTGTTATCTAATAGGTTTTAAACCATGCTTTTTGAAGTCATATGCAGCATAAGGGATAGATCCAAAGAGGAAAATATTGTCCACTTAAAGTTTAATAATTTCCCAAATTTAAATCGGATGAATGGTTACCCTTATTATAAATATTTGTTATTAAACTATAAAACTGCATTGCTTTTTATAAATGTATAATTTTCTAACATTTTCTAAATTCTTCAACCATCTTGAGTGACTTACTGTAGATTGCTGCGACACACCAGATATGAATCAGACCAGTTTTCAAAATAAAAGCAGAACTGTTCCAATAAAAGATGAATAGGCTGCATTTGAAGGTACATTGCCTTAATCTGAATGAGATGTTCGCATCAAGCCAAGACCCTATTAATGGAGCATTTGTCTTTGGTGTTATGTAAACAGAGTCATCAGACAGAGAAGAAGGGGAAGCTGCGTTCAGGGTGGGTTGATGACAGCCCCTGGCCCTGCATTGCTGACGAAAGCTGCTTAGCTCCTCAGTTGCTATGGCAACAAGGGAGAGCAGCCAGACAAAAACGAGGCAAAGGGGAGGGGCTTTCAAGGGAGAAATAGAGGAGAAAGGGCTGGGTGGGAGAGATAGACAGAGGGAGGGATACAGACAACCGATATAGAAAAACACTGAGAGCAACGGAGGTAAAGCAAGCCTACAGAAGAGGAAAGATATAACGTCTGGACATCAATGCTCTCTCCACTGGCTGGGGAATAATAACTGCAGGAAGTGACTATAGGATATGGAGAACGGGGGAAACAGAGAGAAGATGGATGTACAAACGGAGAACATGGACCCCCCGCCTTGTGAATCCCAGGCGAGTGGAAAAATCAGAAAAGGATTCAAGCTGTTTGGTAAACGCAAGCCAGGGAACATCTTTTCTATTCGAAGCAAAGGGGATGGAAACAACAAGTCACCTGTTAACACAAGCAAAACCATAGATGGAGTATCGGAGAACGCTGCACCAGATTCAGAGCAGGGGCTGGACAAGGAAAGGGGACAGGAGCTGAGTCAAGGAGAGAGGGAGCCGTCAGAGGAGGAGCAGCTTGGAGAATATGGCGTTATGGCTGCTGCTCCATTTCGCGCCTCCATTTCTTCAACCAGTTCAGCCAAGTCCCTCAGCTTCCTGTCGTTGCTGAGGGGCGGCCGGAGAGGAGTAGGGGACCGTCGAGTCCAAACTGTGTCCCAGCCTGTGGGCAGGCAACGGCGAGGGCTGAAGGGTCTCTTTAACAATGTTAAGTTCAGGTCAAAAGATAAAGAGGAGAAGGAGGAAGCACCTCCGAGCCCACTTCTCATGTTGTCCCGCGCCAGCAGTGTGGAAATCATCAAAGAGGACATGACCCTCACCCCAAAATGCCAGCCGCGCTCTCTGGAGAGCCCAAAGACTGAGAGCTGGGAGGCGAGCAAGAGTTTAACAACACAGGACAGTGCAGACACGTCCCCATCAGAGACCACAACTCCTCAGGCGACAGCGGGAAATGTGAGTAGAACTAACGAGCATGTGCCAACTTTACCCACTTCTGACCCACCCTTGGTACCCGGTGATAACAGCCTCAGCTGCCTGCTTGCAGACATCTCCTCTCTCCTGACCTTTGACTCAATATCAGGGGGTGGAGACATGATGGCTGATGTGGAGGCAGAGTGGGGAAGAGCCAGCAGTCCCATCACTGCCGCTTGGACTGAAGTCACGCCATCGTCCATCTTCTCCAAACCCACCATGTCACGACCACTGGCCTCCATTAGCACTGCTGCTACGGCAAAACCCTATCCCGTAGCCGTCCCCACAACAGCCTTCACCCAATCCTTCACCCAATCCTTCACCCAGTCCTTCACCCCTGGGACAAAGACAGCTACGAGAGCTACGACCTCTTCTCCCGTTTCCAGGCCGAGCTCAATCATCACAACGTTGACCAAAGCTTCCACTTTGACAACTAACTCAGTCACATTAAACTCGGACTCTACTCCAGCCTCTGCCACTTATGCTAGCATTAAAATTACATCAACTCCAATCGCAACAAAATCCTCAACTCCCCCTGTAACATTGACAAGCTTTTCGGCTCCTAAAATATCTCAACCTTCAGCGGCAATTAAATCCACACTGAGCACCACCTCTAATTCTACAACAGCTCCTCCGAACACACCGGCTACCGTAGCCAAGGCTCCCTCAATCGGTCCAAATCTTACGTTCACGGCGAGCAAATTCGCATCAGAGATTACACCTCCTCCTCAAACTATTGCTTCAGTAAGTACACCTTTGACTGTAGCTACTCCAACCCCTGCATCAGCTAAACCTCCCCCAGTAACCCATAGCCCTCCCACCCCTGTTGTTTTTACCCAACCTCCACCTGCTAAATTGGATACAGTTAGTAGTTTGAACCTGAAAACTTTCACTTCCTACAAACCTTCCCTCAGTTCAGCTGCAGGAGAAGCTAAAGCCCCAGTGATAATCTCACCAGCTTGTGCTGTTACTCCCAAACCCAAACTGGTTATGCCCCCCAAGGTGACAACGGTTCCCACATCAACTACGACCCCCGGCTTGGTATCTGCACCCACTTCCAAGCCTACTCTCAACTGTAGCCCACTGGATTTAAATAAGGCCCCTCCTTCCCTTGCAAAAGTTCCAGATATCCTTCCTTCCTCTAACCTGACTGCTGTTACTAAAACCCAACCCAGCCCTGTGTCTGTCCCAACTCCATCATCAACTTCTTTAGATAAGATTCCTCCCCTGACTAAACCCCCTTATGCACCAGTCACTTTAGATAAGATGGCCCCTGCTCCAACACCAACCCCAACCCCTGCTCCTCATGCTGTTTTTACAGCCTCTCCAGCACCTCCTCCTCCAGTTCAGATCCCAGTCCCTCAACCTAAAGCCCCACCTGCTCCTGCTCAAATCCCAATTTCCGCACCTAAAGATTCACCTACTCCTACTCCAATGCAAGTTTCTCAATCTAAATACCCTCCTGCCCCTGCTGAAACCCCACTTTATGTATCAAAACCCCCTCCTGCCCCTGTACAAACCCCAGTTTCAGTATCAAAACCCCCTCCTGCCCCTGCTCGGATGCCAGTTGATGTATCTACTGAACGTTCTGCCCCTGTACAAACCCCAGTTTCAGTATCAAAACCCCCTCCTGCCCCTGCTCGGATGCCAGTTGATGTATCTACTGAACGTTCTGCCCCTGTACAAACCCCAGTTTCTGTATCAAAACCCCCTCCTGCCCCTGCTCGGATGCCAGTTGATGTATCTACTGAACGTTCTGCCCCTGTACAAACCCCAGTTTCTGTATCTAAACCCCCTCCTGCCCCTGCTCGGATCCCAGTTGATGTATCTACTGAACGTTCTGCCCCTGTACAAACCCCAGTTTCTGTATCAAAACCCCCTCCTGCCCCTGTACAAACCCCAGTTTCTGTATCAAAACCCCCTCCTGCCCCTGCTCGGATGCCAGTTGATGTATCTACTGAACGTTCTGCCCCTGTACAAACCCCAGTTTCTGTATCAAAACCCCCTCCTGCCCCTGCTCGGATCCCAGTTGATGTATCTACTGAACGTTCTGCCCCTGTACAAACCCCAGTTTCTGTATCTAAACCCCCTCCTGCCCCTGCTCGGATGCCAGTTGATGTATCTACTGAACGTTCTGCCCCTGTACAAATCCCAGTTTCTGTATCTAAACCCCCTCCTGCCCCTGCTCGGATCCCAGTTGATGTATCTACTGAACGTTCTGCCCCTGTACAAATCCCAGTTTCTGTATTAAAACCCCATTCTGCTCAGATCCCAGTTTCTCAACCCAAACCCCCTCCTGCCCCAACCCCTGCCCATAGCCCTGTCACTTCTCCTTCTTCGACCCCTGGTGAGGCCCCAGCTTCTGCTAAGATGCGAGCAAGTGGACGGGCATCAGTCGATGGTGGACTGACTAGTCCAAGTAGCACAGGTCCTCAGACCATGCTGTCAAAAACAGAAGAACTCCAGGGCCAGCCCAGGGAAAGGAGGATACCTCAACCAAAGGCATCAGGACTGAGTAAAATCCCTGTTGTTGGAGGGGGCAGAGCAGGCAGGATACCTGTCCGGGACAGTCAACACGATGATGAGGAAGCAAGTAGGGACCCACCTACTCCTGTTCTCGAAAAAGAGAGGCCTCATTTCAACTCACATGATGCCGGGATCAAAGATAAGATCTGTAATGTTGAGGCTGATGAGCCCACCTCAAAAAACACCCAGGAGGAGAGTCAGCAGCTTCCCCAACCGAAGGTCCTCACCAGTTTACCGCGTGACTCAAAGATCCCTGTGAAACATGGCGCTCCGCCTCACGCTGCCTCACAAATCCCTCAGGCGAAAGAACCCTATCGTACCAAGATACCCGTGTCCAAGGTTCCTGTCCGCAGGGCCGGTAATAAACCTGCAGCTGCATGTGGAAGCACCCAGATAAGAAAATAAAACAATGGACTGCATCAATCAACGATACAGATTATGGCTTTGACTGCGACTTTTCTCCTCTATATAACTACACAACCACACTTTTTTTCAGATTTCTAGACTGTGATTCTTGGCTTCACTGCGATAGTACCAGAGTCAAGAGGCTGACAGCACTCAAGCACAAAATATCTCCACAAGGAGCCGAAGCAACAATCCTGGCTCTTTGGTGCTGAGCCAACTGGACACGCTCTCAGGAAAGGTTCAGGGTCACACCTGGACACACAGCAGCATTGTTGACTAAGGATAAGCAAGACTTCTGGGAACATAGACACACACACACACAAGGGTGCTTTTCCGACTCAGAATTAATATTTTCTACAATGCTTTTAACTTTTGTTACTCCCACTTTTTGTAGAAACCGTCAACTCTTTGTCTTTCTTTCCAGCAAATCTCTTTGATAATAACCAGTCCCTTTATTTTTTATTTATGTCAGAAGAAGAACAGCAAGAGCTCTATACAGTAATGCAACGACCAAATTTACATTCCACACCAATCTCTGGATGTATGTAGCATAAAAACGTGCCATTAATCTTTGCACATGATGTTGAAATGTACATTGCCTGTGTCGACTGCTCATATGTAACATGATCAGATCTCACTGTGAACTATGGGACGGACTGGTTTTGAGGGAGAATTGGAACTAACCTTCCTCCCAGTGAAGTGGACAGTGGACAGCAGCTATTATGAATGGCACTGTGGACGTTTGAGTGAAACAGAGAGGATGCGGAGATGAGATCTCACTGGCACTGGTCCTTATCCTTATCCCACTTATACTCGGATGAGATCAATATATCTGTCTATAGTCTCATCTATGTTGTTCTGTTTCCTATTTAATCAATAAAACAATATGAATATACTTCGCAAAATGAGATCTGTTTAAGTTGTGGATTTTATCCGGCATGTTTCATATTGTGTTATAAGTTTGCAGAAATGTGGTACATCGTAAATGATTCATCAGCTGTGTTTTAAGAAATGTTGTGATCCTTATATGTGGAAGGAAGTGAAGAAGAGTAGGATCATAGTAAAAAGATCTAATACACATTTGACATTTTCACGGATGGCTCAACATCTTACTACAGCCTGGGCTCATAGAAACATCATTACAACATCATCCACACTGAAAGCTCACTGACCTGAGAAGCTAGCACATGAATGTCAGTAGAGACCGGCCAATCAGCTGCAAGGGAAACCGCTTAACATGCATACCTTATTATCAGGAAAAGGGTTCGGGAATGTGTGTGATTGCTATTCTTAGTGCGAAATGCACCCAATGAATGTGCTGCATAATGACTGAGTGGATAATTTGATTTGGTCATTTAGTACCAGTCAGTTAGTCATTGAATAGTAGAAGGAATGCTGATGGTTATTTGAACAGAAAAGGCTGTCAAAAAAAAAAAGGGGCCTTCTTTAATGTTGCACAAGAAATGTGGGAAAAACATGTTGATAAGCAAAAGTGCTACTATTGGTGAGAGTAAAACCTCAGGTTAAAGATGGGAAGTTGATTTGAGTCATGGGGTAATGTTTAGAGGCGCCTGGTGTTAGGAATAAGGCGTAAAGGACAAAGGGTGAATTTCTTACAAAAAAAATGTGGAGGTGACACAAAAAGACCTCTGTGTACTTCAGCAAGCCAGAGGCTGCAAGCTGAGAAGAGAGGACCATCCTGTGGCCTAGAATAACACGAGGATTTCACCACATCAGGTGCTGATACTGGTCACAGATGGTAAACCTTCTTCTGAGAAAAGAACAGTTTCCCCCTGAGGCTCTGACACTACACAGGTTTGCCTTTTTTGTAACACCTGCGATTAGGAATTTAAAAAAGGGTTTTAACAGCATGTAGATTTACAATCAGGCTTGTTATGAGGGCTCACATTGTGACACAGCGTGATAATTAACAGCATGCTCTCCATTACAGAGAAACTGCCTATGAATATGTTTTGTGAAGAAATCTGAAACAAGCAGTGAATGCTGCCTTTTGTCCACCTCTATTCACATGATTTCCCAGTATTTACTCTTTCATGCTTATAAGTGATAGTGACAACAGCCTTGAGGTAGATTCAACCAGGGACCATGTTGGAATAATCTTTTAAACAATATTGCATAAGCTTTGTCTGTATATAGGTTGTTTGTGTATAATGCCAGCCCCCATTGCCCTAAATATGTAACACAAACACCCATAATGCACTGAGGCCACTATGGCTTTCTATGGTCTGCATGTGTTTGTGTCTTCCGCCTCTGGAGAGACGGTGTGCCTCTTTAGAACCTAATTTAGCATGCTTCATTCTGCGTTTCCATGGCAACCCCACTAGGTCAGCCAATGAAAGGCTGCGGGTGTCAAGAGGAGGAGTTTAAAACATGAGTGCCTTAATGAGCACACTCACAGTATACATGCTAATAAAACCCGTTTTACACCATATACCATTTTTTATTATAATACTGAATTATAACAATTAAGATGTTAATAGCTCACTGTAATGTTGAGACACATTTTATACTGATTATTAATTCACTTCCAAACTTTGCTGGTTGTGCATTGACCTGAGCTGAACCAGACACACAGTGAACTTTTTTTTGCTAATAGGATGCTAAAGATAACATTCATAGAACATTTTATTTTTTAAGTTTCTAAAACATTTTAGAAATGATTCAGATATACTGGAAGGTAAGGAATTAACCAAAAGTGTCATGGTGGTATTGCCTGTTATCGCGGGTATTATTAAACAAATGAAAGGTTTAAGGATCTGGTTGAGCTTCACTACAGGGGCATTGTTCAGATCTATAAAATAAGGCCATAGATTACCTCGATGATACACTACTTAACAGCGTGAAAATAATAACATGGGACTCAATATCCATGGGATAACACATCGTTTTACCATGTTGAGATTTAAAAAGCTTATTTTCCATACTCCAAAATACAAATAAACTTTAGCAAAGCAAGAGCCAATTTATCCCTCACTGTTAAACATGTTTGAAAACCATATAAAACCTTGTAATGTTCATATTCATAACCATATCATTCCACAAATATGGTTAATAATACAATTATTTATTCTTGTTCATATTGAAGTATAAAAAACGGTACCATAGGTTTGACAAAAATTACCATTGTTTATATAAAATTATCAAATAGTATATTTATTAAAAACATATATAAATGCAATAAACTGTCTCGTTTCAGGGTCATACATTGGACGACAGATAGCAGATGAGATAACATTACAGATACTACTCTTCACTGAGAAAAGGCAACAACACATCTGCTTCATCGTCAGCTCGGCAGCCTCATCTGCACTCACAACACCAACAGCGTGTCACGTGCTATTAAAAGCTCTCTCTCATTATCAAATGGAGTCAGTCCGTTGCAAATTGTCAAAGAATAGAGATCAAACATATGGCTTTTTATAAAACACTCAAAACAACATTTTTGAAATAATTATTAAAACATTAATGTGTGTCCAAGATCCTGAACATGATGATTTCTAATTCGCTTACAAAAAGCAAATATTAAGCTGGATATGCATGTGCTTATAGACGCACATATTTGATAAGCATTCAGGAATATGGATGATTATGAAGTATGGCCCTGCCAGCCAGGGCATTACGTCATTTAAGTGCAATAATAAATGCACTGAGGACCTCTGCTGGTGAAAATACTGAATTATATTCTTGAGAATAACATGGGTGACGCAGTACAAACAGCATCCCTGCTGAACAACATGGCTTCATCATATCAGGCCTGCAGCCTCGACTATAGATAGAGGGAGCTAGATGCACCATGATAGGCATGAACACAGAACCAATGTGATCTATGCAGATATCTACTGTTATAAGTAGACTATTTGCCAACATTTACTAATAATTAATTACAAAAGTGCCTGTAATTTTCACTCATTCATTAGTATGCAAATATGAGTCGTAAAACCAAATTAGGACTCATTGGAAAGAAAGTGAAGCAAAGAGACATGGAAATGTTTCAAAGGAATACTGATGGTGGACATTCAGCCCTACTTTAAATAAGCAGTCAAGACCATCTTATGCTTGGCGTCTGGCAGCAGCAATACCATGCTTGAGTTAGAAATATGAAATAATACTCGCACTAATTACATTGAATATTGTGAACAATATAGTAATATTAAATCTGAGTTGAAATAAAAATGTGCATTTTTGCAAACACTGATACAGATAGAAAAGGTTGTGAAGAGCCTGGCGTCCAACCAGAAGGAGAAAGGAATGAAGAAAAAGAAGGCAAAGAAACAAAAAGGTACAATTTAAACTCTGCTTTTAACATGCTAGACACTTAGTTTGGGAAATACTAGATTATTGGAAGCTGTTTCGCAGACAAGCATCTGTTATAGACAACAGCATTAGTATGTACCGCAGTTAGGAAGTGGAGAAGAAGTTGTGTTTAGATGCTTCCCTGATCAAGTTTGGACTGAAAAAGGGCAAAAATAACAAAGAGAGCATGAGACAAGCAGAGATTTTGAGGAATGATAAAGTTGGAAAATGTTATTAGTAAAATGGTGCAAGATTTAGTGATGCTTTGGCCTCATGCTACATCAAACAACAACAAAAATGTCTAAATAGCTTAATTATGAAACCTGTATATCAATTATAAAGCATACGCTGTAGGTTACAATTAATACAAGTGTAAACAGAAGTTGTGGTTTTTTTGACCTGATGAACATCAATCTCACTCGCTTTTGCCAGTATGCTGACACACTGTTTACAGAGGAAATGTAGTGCCGTGAACATTTGTTGTGATCTGTTACACCATGAAATGCATGTGTCCTTCAGCACCCGTAACCATGACATCCATCCAGATACGCATGGCCTCAGGTGACGGGGCCACCATATAGTACACCCGATCATGGGTCTTCAGACAGAACGTCAGCGAAGGGTTGGGGCTCTTGGGTGTGGAAGTGAATGTAATGTTGAGAAAAAAGTGAAAGAAGAATAGGAGGGTAGAGGGGTGAGGTGACGCATGTGTGGGAAAAAAACAAATGGAGGGAGAGAAGCAGAGGATAAACAGATGTCAACATTGTTGAAATAAAATGAGGCATGTGTAGAACATGCTAAAAATCACAGACGTGTACACACTTACTTTGTGTGCGTTCTTCAAATGGTCGTAGTACACCTCCTCTATGGCTTGAAAGTAAATGACTCCTTTTATCTTGGTCTCATGTTTGTCTGCAAGCGGAGGAATATAAACAGAACGGAGAACACTGAGATCAAAGCTCGGCCGTAAGAGTATCCTTGAATAGCTTGAGAGTGACATCACTGTTGCAGTTTCACATCTTAAACTTTGAGTTAAGTTAAAGGGCCTCAATTGTGCACATTTTCAGGTTTATATTTGTATGTAGTGCCTCTACTGTGACATGTCTCCATGCTTTAATGTTTAAAAAGCTTTTTATTTTTCTCATGCTGCCTGTGCTGCAGCACCTCTTTTCACCCTCTGTCTGAAACCAGAGCCCAGTCTACTCTGATTGGTTAGCTGGCCGGCTCTGTTGTGATTGCTCAACCGCTTAGAGATGTCCCGCCCCGTAACCTATCACGTACAATGTGTTGGAGCTCTAGCCAATAAAAGTGTGTGCGTTTTATACTGATGTCACTATTTTACAGTGGAGGGGGGGGTGTGGGAGAGAAACTCCTTCTGGAGGGAACTTGGGGATTTGAGCTTTTGAGAGCATTTACATGCACAACATTATATATGACACACTACAAGGGAAACCCCAAAATGAGGGTAACTCACCTGAATAGTATGTGAGAGTCCTGCGATTCTGGTCTAAAACAAACCAGCGTTTCTTCCAGGTCTTGATCTTGCCGCCCATTTTAACCAGGAAGCCTCGGCAGGTTTTATCAGTGATGGCCAGATGGAAGCAGGCGTCTGGGTTGTGTCCAGCTGCCTCAATGTGACCGTGAAGATCAAAGTCGTCTTTCCTCATAGGGAGGTAGCGGGTCAACAGCCGAGACTATGGGAAAAGCAATTAATTTAGATTTTGTTTATGGTGAAAAAAAACACATCAGACTTCAAAATCTTCCTGTCAGTTATTGTGTATACCTGTGATCTTTGTTTCTCCCTGAGCTTCACCTCTCTCTCGACCAGTTTCTGCCTCCTGCTCGTCTCCTCCTGCAAACGTTTCTCCAGTTCCTCTCTTCTTCTTCGCTCTTCCTCCAGAGCATGCCTGCGCATCTCCATCTCACGCTCCTGCACATGCCACATAGTGTAAATGACATCCATAAAGACACACACACATCCAAATACACAGGAAGTTTGGGTTATGAATGCACATTACCCGATGCTCAAGGAGCCTGTGCTTCTCAGCCTGGGCCTCTCGGAGTAAACGCTCCATCTCCTCAAGCTTTGCCATGTTGGACATACTGGCACTAATGGGGGAAAATAACAATATTTAAAAGCTGCGAGCAGCGATGAGCAGCGATGAGCGGCTCTTCGGCGATTGTCCGCAGGTCGATGTCACGCAGATGTTTTCTCGGACTCGGTCGTTAGCAAACATGTGAAGTTTCGGTCCGAACGGACAATGGACATGGGAGTTACAGCAGTAACATAAACATTGTGTTTGATGGCGAGTGATCTGTCGCCATCGTTAACATCAATTGATGACACCCCATAAAAGGCTTGGATGTCTTGAGGGATGCATCATCATCAAACGTGAAGTTTTGGGCTGTTTGGAACATTTCCACTGAAGTTATGAGAAAATTGTGTTTTATGGCGGATGATGTGTCGCCATGGCAACGGCATAAGATGACACCCCATAATAGGCTTAGACCGGTATGGAAGCCCTTTTCTGTCCCTGCTTAGAGGATAAAGAATATCCTATTTGACATGATGAGGATATCAAAATAGTAAGAAAAGGTCTCAGACCTTAATTACATTTATCTGATTAAGGGGGAATACACTACTGTTTGTGATGTGATAAATACACTGAAACAAACAAAAATAAAGAAAACGATTTCATGATAAGAAACTTGTAAGCCCCCATCCCCCTTAAACACAAAACAGTAGATACAAAAAACATTACAAGGGCTGTTATTACATTTGCTGACGTTTATGTAACTGTGAGAAAACGTGGGGAGAGCTGGATGTCTTTCTAAGAACATCTCCTGATTATCTCTGACAGGCTCAAACTTATCTTCTAAAAATACCACTCTCCTTTTATATTTGCTCCGTCTAAACTTTTCAAAGTAACCTTTTATGTGTACATCATGGCGCTTTCCTCTGACCTGGACATGTTGTCGGGGGAGCAGGCGGAGAAGCTGGTCTCCATGCTGTCGGAGCTGTCCACACTGACGGTGTCTGAGGTCAGGCTGGTGTCCTGGTAGGAGAAGGAGTCCAAGAACACGCCGGGCTCTGAGATCAGCCTGCTGCAGTAATCACTTCTTCTCTGCCGCTCTTCATTCATGTGTGCATGGCTGTTGTCTGCTGACGGAAGAAAAGTGTACAGTAAGAACATGGAAATACCCTTCAGCATGCATGATGTAATGTTAAATCACATCAAAAGGCCTGCAGTTTGTTAACTAGTGAGCCAGGTGGCATTGCATCTTGCAATCACTATTCAACGTACACTGATAAACCGTAAATAGAAAAGGATAAAGTTAGGAGGAGAAATGTGGAATTGAAATCTTCCAAAAAGATTGCTTGACTTTGGCTTTTTCTTTTTAAATAACATTATTGATTAAAATTACTGTGACTTTTTTTAATTACTTTTCTAAAGACAAACCTTACTAACATTTTATCTTGACAAACCATACTATGCTTTCTTTGTATTGAATTTTCAAAGAGATTTCTACTTTATTATGCCGAGTAGTTTGTCAGATGTTATGCTACAGCATTCAACATCGTGATAATTTCTGACGAAATGTTAATTATGAAACAAGTTTCTCAAAACCTTATCAAACACATCCAGTGCCATTAAGATACTTTGTTTTTGTTCCATGTTTTAAACAAGCATATATTTAGTTGTAAATCACAAACAGCTAATGCACAGTATTTGTGTTAAGACAGACATGTAGTCTTTGATATCAGATTTGAACTAAATGTGGCTCCCGTTGCCTCAGATGAATGCATCAGTTAAACATCTCCTGTCCTACATGTGTAACGCCTGAGGTTCAAAGCTGGTCATTCAGTGTAGATTTGAGGCAGACGAGACACGACAGTCCGGTCCTCTGACTCACTCTTGGGCGGGCGGCGAGTGCTCAGGTCCCGGGGGGAGAAGCTGAAGCCCGGTGGGACGACGCTGCCACAGCTGGAGCTTTGGGAGAGAGGCAAGTGGGCCTGAAGAGGAAACAGCAGCACACATGATGTTCAGGATCAGGCAGGACAACCATCACGCCACTACAAAGTATTTTAATGATGAAACAGACAGAAACTGTGAATTTCTGTTAGATTGATAATTTTCTAAGGTCAATAGTCTTTCTTTATACAAAAAGTGAAAGCAATGAAATCCCCTCTCCTGCAGTCCAGAACTAGAACGAGCATCATTATATCAAAATAGTTTTTCAATCTGGGTGATTCTTCCTATTAGGCCTTTACCAGCAAATTAGAAAATGTTTTAAAGGTCACCTATTATAAAACAAATCCACTTTTTCATGTCTTTTATACATAAATATGTGTCCCCTCTGTGTAAAGAGATTCTGAAAGCCACTTTTTGATGTCATAACGATTTGTTGGCTTGTGTAACCATTAGTCAATAACCAACCAAGGTAACTCCCCCTCCACCTTATCACCTGAATCTCCTCCTAGAGCACCATTGTGTTCTTTTTAACCAAATATCTCTCAGAGGGGCGTGGGGAGTGGCTCCTTATTTTCATCTAAAGTCACAGACAGAGAATCAGCACTTTTGAAACAGGGCTGAAACAGAGGGGATTATGGGATGCTGCAATGATCTATTTGGTATTTGGAGCCAAACACTTCAGAGACATGTTTTGTATATATCTGAGACCTGTAATATATTGATGAAAAACGGTATAATAGGGGACCTTTAAATTAGAAAAATACTAATATTTCTGTGACCTTTAATGATTACTTTTGAAAAACTAGACCTTAGGAGGAAGCGTGCGTCCGAGGGATCTGCCGTAAGCGGTGAGGAGCTGCTGGCTCCTCTTATGAGGTAGGCTGTCACTCGGGTGGGAAGAGTTTTCTTTGTTACTTCTTCTTCTTTCCTTCAAGGAGTGCTACAAAGGAATCACAAAGAACAAGATGAGATAAAAATAAAATAGACTATGTGACAGAGGACAGAGGAGCACTCTGCTGGTGGAAATACGAAGGACTATTAAAGCTGTAACTTGCCTCTTTGATGGAGTTGTTAGTGAAACCCTGCCCCTCCGACAGCTCTGCATACTTTCCTTCCAAAGATGCCAGTTTCTCTCTCTCCTGCAGACATCAGGAGAAGACCTTTAAGTAAATGTCATTAATGCATGTAGTTTATCATCATAATAAAAAATGTTCTTACCTTTTGAAGCATGATGATCAAATTGTTTTTCTCTCTCTGGAAGTGTTCTCTTTCTTGCTGAGCCTGCAAGGTAATCTGTGAGGACTGTTTCTTCAGTATCATGATTCTTTCCTGTGACATAAAAAGCATAGTTTCACCATATCACACTATCCTGCAACTTAAAGGTCCCATGTCATGCTTTTCTGGTTATTACCCGTCCCCTTGTGTGTTATGTAGCTTTTTATGCATGTAAACGGTCTGCAGAGTCACAAAACCTCAAAGTACACCGTGTAGCGAGTAAAACTCTAACACAGAAAAGACCTGTCTATGCTGCCCCAGAATGCCTCGTTTCCATTTGTTTTCCTGGTCATAGTGACGTAACGCTGCGGAGCTCCTCACACACACACACACACACACACACACACACACACACACACACACTCACTCAGCCTTATCTTTTCTCAGCCGCGGCTCCACGGATTTACGCACACACACACACACACTCACAGCCTGGCTGGAAAAAGGCTGAGTTCCGCGGTGTCTCGTTGTCTCGCAGACCCCACGCAGCAACCAGGAAACGACACCAGTAATCCAGCTCACACTGTCCGCTCCTCGAGCCTCAAAGGGCGGAGCAGCGAGACTCGCAACGTCCCGCCAACACGGCACCCAGACGCCACGCAGCATTCTCATCTGTTTGTCATTACTGGTGTCATTTTGTGGTTGCTAACAAACGCCATTGTAACACATAATCACTGATGTTCCGCTGTAACGGTGGTTGACTAATCAGAACAGAGTGGGCGAGCTGACCAATCAGAGCACGGTGGGCTTATAGGGAGGGGGGGGGGGGCAGGAACTCCAAAAAGGCGTGTAGGACAGAGAGTGAATACACATACTATACAGAGATGCTGAATGAGAAACCAATGTGATTTTGGAAAATTGAACAATGTAAATCTATTCTAGTAGACCTCAACAATGGAATTATGATCAGTAGAAATGGCCATGTCATGGGACCCTTAATAAGAGCACAGTAAGGTTGCAAATTAGCAGATGGCATATGTTAGGAAGCAGCAGCAGAGAGATAAAGAGCAAATCCTAATTTGTATTTAGTATTCTCATCCTGTTTCTGTCCCCTCTAGACAGAATTACCCTCAGTGGGAACATCTATGTATTCTTTGTCTTTAGTGCTATATGAATAATATGTCATGCTTACCATTGCTGTTTCTTGTAATTAGTTCATGCTTTTTTGCAGCTTTATTTTCATGCACAACCTGTAGTAAGATCAATCACAACCTTTATATATACAGTCTATGATCACAACAAACCACAATGTAGTAATTGAACAAAGTCCTCAAAAAAGAACAATTTGAATGATTACCATAACACTTGAAGGCTTGAACAGATCTTTTACTTTGTTGCAGATGAAAGTCAGATTCAACAAATAGAAACTTCAAAGCAGCTAAAACCCTGCACTTTTTAAAAGACATATAACAATTGGTCCACCACCAGAAAACAGCACACATTTCAGATGCTTCTGTATATGTGGGTACTTTATGGACACTAATCTGTAATAAAAAAAATGCCTAGAGTAGAAATCGTACTGATGATATGGCTTCAAGTACTGTAAGACATTTCAAAGTGATGCGGTGCCAGCCCTGCCTGCAAAGTAAACATGCAAAACATGCTTCATGCACTCTCGAAACCTCCGTGGCCGTACCTTGCGTGTTACAGTCAGACGCTGATGCTCGGCGATCTCGCGCAGCAGATCCTGGCTCTGACTTTCTTTTTCCTCGCCCTGATTAATTTCTCTCTCCAGCTTCTGAAACTCCAAATCCTCCAAACTTTTAATCTGCTCTGCAGAACCCTGATAAACAGCACAGAAGCACACACAAATATAACAATCTAAAGCTACATCAATAGATGAGGACACACTGTGTTTTGGGTCTACTCTGGGCACAAGGATCAAACTTTATGGAAATACATGAATGGACACAGTTTGGGTGTTTTATGACACATTATTCAATGCAAAAAACATGTAAGAGTTTTCCTATTTTTCACAATGTAATAAGTGATATGTGTTCTTGCGTATGATTACAGGTTTCAGGTTATTTTTAATTTCAACCAAATCTAAGGCAGATGCGCTAACAACCTCTTTTACACATGGTACCTATTTGGGCCCCTAACCAAATGTGGGAACCAGGGACACCAAGGCAAAAAACTAAGTTTTGAAGGTGAGACTGGACGTAAAGGAAGGGATCTTGGATTACAAAGAACAAGGTCAAGAGGATAATAAAGGCACCAAGAAACTCGTTTTGAAGGAAAAGAAAATACAGGCGGCACGGCGCTCACTGCTATCATGAGCTAATCCTTGAAGAAAGTGGTGCGGTTGAGTTAGTTTAGGTGTTCTGCCTAGAGGAGTAACACAAGAATGAGGCTGTCTGAATCTACAGTATATGCAGGAAACAATGTTTTATTACTTTCTTTGGAGATGCCTTTACATTTTAGCCATTTGTTCTGTTGCACACATGGACTGTTTTAGTAGAGGGTCTTTAGATGAACTTTCAAGCTGCTTTGTAGATCCCATTTGTGATGAACCCTCTTGATCTGTTTGCAATCATTTCCTCTTGGAAACCTAATGTGTTTGGTTCTAAAGGAAATGTAACTGGACCCATGTTAGAGGAAGCTGTGGTTGAACTGAACGGATCTCTGAGAGTTTGTTTAGTCTCTGTGAACCCGTGTCCACACATTACTGTGCATCTGCCAAACATGTATCATGGCTTGATCATTTGATATGTTTTTACCTGTGATTTCTCCTTGTGGTTAGTGTTCTCAGTACAAGAAATCTTCTTTTTAAGAAGTGTGTCCAGGACCTCTTTATCCCTCTGCAGCTGGGTCATCTCAGACTCTTGTTCCCCCTCCAGCAGAGCACACTCCACCTCCATCTGCATGAACAAGGGCAAAAAAAAACTGTCTTCAAAACATATTGTCAATTGTAAGACAAACTTAATAAGCTAATCAGACAGAATCATACAAACAAAAGAGCAACACGGATGATTATTTCATCCACTTTAATGTTCTTTACTGGGATGAGCTTGTGAGATAAATGTTAAATGCTCTCAAGTTTTCAGTAATTCATTAGTTTGTCTCACACTTTAAAAGAACAAACACTACTGAGCTGTCCAGCTGTCAGCTTTCTACCTCTCGGACAGACTCCTCCATCTGGTTCTCCAGGTCTTTGGTCTTCTGCTCCAGCTCTTCTATGTTGTTCAGGACTTGGATCCTCTCTTCCTCTATTTGCGTTACTTCCTGTTTCAGCTGCACGCTCTCCAGGGCCTGCAGTGACATCAGGAACGCATCAATACTTGGCTGTAGAGGAGGCTTGCATATACCACAAAAAACTCATTGTTGTATTAAAAAAGAAAATCACAACACATGAAGTTAGTGGGGAATAAGCTTCTGCGAATTTGATGAGAATACTTTTTATAACATGGGAAACACATTTTCCACACCATGTGTTGTTAAACTAATTTGCATCAGTTTTTCTGAATAAGACTCGGCAGCTGCTGTTTTAACTCATCCGAAGCTGGATTGCTGACAGCAGGGGCAGGGTTGTTTTCTACTTGGTGTAATGGAAATCTCTATCAGTGCACTCCACTGCCAGTCACGCCAGAGCACTCCCACATATTTCATCGTCTACCAACATCCCACACACATTCATTCATACGTGGGTACATTTAAGAGATCCTGCATTTTCAGGTATTCTTTCTTTTAAGAGTCAGAAGGATTGTTTCAGTGGTCACAGTCTCATGCGGCCAGCAGCTCAAAGATTTATAGTTTCCTTGGGGGGTTGTGAACACTCTTTCTTTCTGCAGACACTGCTCTGAGGAATGCAGATGGTGGAGGATTTGGAGTCTGTAAACCTCTGTCTCAATTGACACATTGCAGGAAAGATTGTCTCTACTTGGAAATCTAATTTCTAATAACCTGGTTGAAGGTTGTGTCTTCCACATAAAAAAAAGTATTGGTTTAATACCTGTGTAAATGTGTCCACTGCAATCTCATTTTCACAAGGTCTTCTATCCATTCAGACTCAGTATTAGAGTTCAAAACATCTGGAAAAATGCATGCGTTCCCATGCATATGCACTAGCATTCTTCCACTCACACACACACACCCGCACACAGTTGAGCATACATGCACACACACATGCGCACACTAATTCTCCTTGGGATAGAGTCATTTCCTGTTCCCCCCCCAGTTCGAATGGCTGAGTGCTGAAACAAACCTAGGACTTCTTCATTAGAACCAGACACACCATTAGGCTGTTACCGCTGTAGAGTGGAAAAGCTTTTACAGAGACAGTAACTCAGCGGCACTAGGACTGAGACAGTGGAGGAGGGGGCGTCCCTGGAAACTAAACACACAGTATTTCATACATTAAATACATTTATCTTCATAAATGCTGCTTATGTAAAAAGACTTCCTTGTTTAAAACAAAAATAGTTGATAATAGAAGCGATGAGGTCAAATTGTAGTCACATCAAAGCTATGAGGGCTTGTGCAACTGTGATTTCAATGTTTATGAGTCTAAGCAGCCCACATAAACAGGAAATGTGCAAACTGCAGACTGCACACAGTTACTTTACTAAACTTCAGACTAAAAGCCAAAAGATTCGGAGGAATCTGCGTCATCGAAAGGAGTTTATGTGTTGAATAATACTGGGAGTCTGGAAGAGACACACTCAATTCAACCACCAAAATAACCAATCGAAGATTTGGGTAAAATGTCCGCACTAATATATACATTGTCTTGATGTCTTAAACATAATTGTACTGACATTCCCGTCATAGTTCACATAACCAGTACTAGATTTTGAAATGGCGCCAAGGCAAATGGAAAAATGTACCCTGATACTATCAAAGGTAAACAAACAAAGATCAACAAGCTATCAACAGTCAGAATAAACTGCATTCCTGGGGAGGGGTGTGTCCCGTTAGTCATCACTACAACTTGGTCCTCCCTTCACTCACTCACCCGTCAGTAGCAGGACATAACTGAGAAAGGGCGAATAAAACAAATAGGGAGCAGATGTTCCTTTCTTTATCAAAAGCATTCAGTCCAGGTGATGCAGCCTTATCAGACACTTTACTTTGTGTCCTTAAACAGTCCTTTTTCAAAGCAGGCATTGTGACTTAGTAGGAAAAGCACAGGTGTTACTAATAACACTAACGATGGCTCGCTCGATTTAAGCATCCCACTAACCCACGACAGTGTGACAGTGAGCCAGCATGTCCAATAACAGGACGCTGAATCCAAGGCAGCTAACTGGAATCAGATGAGTGCATTTAATGGTTAAACCTAATCTATTGCTGTCCACATTTCTGAGATATGCACAGTATCCAATTAGCTAAGGGAGGTTCACATAAAAACATAAAAATCCATCCAGCAATAAAAAAACACACAATACCTGTATACAATACGATACAACGCCTCTTTTCAAATATCAAGAATATCCCATAATACTATCAATGTTAATGACGCCTCTTGTAGTGAGAAATGTGAAGCTTCTGTAGCTGTTTTGCCTCTTTATTTTGCTGCAAAAGTTAACTATTTCGGTTACCTTTTTTTTCATCACTCAAAAACACAAAAGAAAAACGTTTTACACTAGCCTCACCAGCGTTAGTAAATGTTTGTTAACTCGTAGCTAATTTCTAAGCAGTTTGGGTTTATTAGCTTATCATTGTGTTATCTGTGTCTGCAGGCCAATTTTAAATTACATTACATTACATGTTACTTGTTAGACGCTTTTATCCAAAGCGACTCAATACTTTGGGCAATCCCCACAGGAGCAATTTGGGGTGAAGTGTCTTGCCCAGGGACACAACGACATGCTGACTGCAGTGGGACTCGAACTTGCTGTGTCCTCTGATTCGAAGAGCAGCGCATTAACCTACTGAGCCACACGCCTCCTTCTCTTAATAATGAGCATAGTTGTATTCAACGTGCAAATACTAACATTGGAAATCAGCTTATTTGAAAATGAAATCATGCAGACCACCTTCATAGTTAAAAAGGGCCCTTGGGAGTTAATTCAGTTTAGAAATAATAGAATTTAAAGAAAATTGAGTTTCAGGGATTTTCCCTTTTTTCATCTGTTTCAAGCTTTGATTTCTGATTTTGGTAATAAGATTGAATTGACCTGATTGTTTCTCTAGAATACAATGGTCCAATTTCAATAAACTACTTCTGGTAATAAAATTGTGATTTTTTTTGTTGATGATTTACTGGCATTTGATTTAATTCCTTATCCCTTATCATTTGTAAATATTCAACCCAACCCTTCTGACATGATATTTAAGAGGGTCTGTCAGGAGGATACATTTGGATTTAAAAGCTGACCTTGGCTCTATGGTGGGTGGAAGGTGAGGGGGCGCTGCTGTGCAGGCTGACGGCAGGAGAGTGGGCCCGGGCATCTCTGTAGACGCTCTGCTGACGCTGGCTGACCGGCTGCTCCTCGGACAGCTGGAAGTCTCTGGCTTTGGCTCCGAAGCCGCTCTCTGGAGCCGGGCTGCTGGGAGAGTCGGAAAACACAGACTCATCGTCGGACACCTGCAGCTTCTCCAACTCCTTATTGATCTTCTGCAAGTCAGAAACAGCTGATCCCGCCGGCTCTCTCTCCACATGGCCGAACCCGGTGCACAGGTTTAAGATGGTCTCTAGACGCTGGCACTCCTGTAAGCAGGGGATCCAAACTCAGAGATGGCAAAAGTACACACATCCTTTAATCAAGTAGAAGTACAGATACTCGTGTTTCAAAATACTCTGGTAAAAGTAGAAGTACTGACTAAACTTCTTTACTCAAGTAAAAGTAAAGAAGTATGGGCTTCGAAATGTACTTGTAAAAAGTACCCATAACTACCATCTGTTTTATAGAGTAACTGACCTCCCTTTATATTAACAGAACAATAATGTCATTGTTAGCTAATGAATGTTTCGATGCTGAACAACGGCAAAATGACAAAGTTTTCATTGGTCCCTCTTCTTTGGAGAAGACCAGGAAATGATGGATACACGGATCGTGTTCAAATCAATAGGCATGCAATGACTCTAAATAATAATGATCACGCCACCAAACACAGATTAAAACTAAGGTAACGAACCTGTTTGGAAAATGTAAGAAGTAGAAAGTACAGGTATTTGTGTTAAAAATGTAAGAAGTAAAAGTAAAAATAAGTAGTGGAGTAAAGTACTGACACCAGAAACATTTACAAATGTACAGTAAGTACATTAACAAAGTATTTGTACTCCACTACTTCCCACCTCTGTCCATACTTCATTATTTCACAGTGTTTTAGTTATTTAACTTTTATCTGACATTGTACAAAATGGTGTTAAGAAGGAATAAGGTTCAAACACAAACTCACCAATCTCTGAACTTTCTGTTCCCGGAGTCGTTCATCTCTCTGATGCAGGTGATAGTCTCTCAGCTCCTCTTTGCCATTCAGAGAGCTGATGCTGCCCACCCTTTGTCCAGGACTCAGTCCCCCCTTCCCAAAAGACAACCTCCTCTCCCCAAACCCCAGATCTAAGCCCGTCCCGTCCAGATCTACACCCAAAGAGCTCAAGGAGGCCAGGCTGGCTCTCCTGGAGGTGCTGGGCATGCTGGCTGGCACGGTCACGTCTGGCGGCTGCTCCAGGGAGGAGAGGCTGCGCCGCTGCCCCGCTGACCCTCTGTGGGCCCCCGAGGAGTGTCGCGATGGCAGCGACAGCGCAGGGGGGTCAGGTGCGTTGTGTAGCCGTGGAAGAGATCTGCTGTGAGTCCCCAGGCTGGTGAGGGAGCCAGTGGAGTACTTCCTCTGCCGGGAGTCTCCTCCAGCTTTGCCCTGAGAGTAAATCCTGCGACCCATGCGAGGGCTGGACGGCACGCTGGCTGCTCCACTTTTGATCCTGGGAGATCGAGGTGGGGGCTGCCCGTAGGAGGAGAGCAGAGAGTTTCCATCGGCTGCGTTGGAGAGGAACAGGCTGTCTTGAGACTGGTGGCGGGAGTGGGAATGTCGGAGCAAGCCGTTGGAGCTCAGCTGGCGTTCACCTTGGCGAGGCGATGGAGGCACGCTGCTGCTGGTCATGTAGGAGAAAGTTCTGGAGGCAGGGGGGGGCCTGTCGGTGTTGCTGAGGATGGACAGCGGCCTGGAGGCCTGGGACCCCACAGGCGAAGGCACGCTGAGGTACTTGCGGCTGCACTCAGCTGCCCTCAGGCTGGCCTCCAGAGCACTCTTCCTGCGCTGCAGCGTCTCCATCAGATCCTGCAGCTCTGCTTTTGAGCGAGAGCCCCTCAGCAACGTCCCCCCCACCGAGCCACTGCTGCTGTGCTCCATCTTCACACAGTCTGTAGAGAAGAGAGAGTTGACAGAGCATGAAATCCTGTCCCTTTTTGGTCTGTGTAATAGTCAGGTTTAATGTAACCAGCTCAGCTAAGAGAAGAGCTATCACTCATGTGCTGAGTAAGGGGAGGGGAAACCAGAGAAGAATGTACGCTCATACAGTTCTGAGCCCAAAACAAACACTGGCTCAATCAGTGGTTAAGCTTCTTCTAAAAATGGAAGAATGATATGGGACCAGGACTAGCCAGAATGCAGCATAGTTTTGTCTGCAAGAGAAATCACTTGCAGCCCAGTACGAATATCTGAGCAAGCAGTCTGAGGAGAAAATCCTGAGTCATGGTTGTCTGGACGCTGACTCATTGTTGTGATATTTAAGAATATCTACCTCCTGTACTCCTTTGTCACAACCAATCCTAGTATTTTGCTTGACAGAGACATTATAAAAAAACAATTCTGCACATGCATTTAAGGATCTGGAGTGCCAACCCAGCCACAAACTGTGCAGTAAGACCACCCAGTCAGTTTTGTGGGCTGCTTAGGAAAACAGGGGATTCAACAAGCCAATCAAATGTGGCTCCCCCTACTATGTCACATTAGACATTACAATATACCACCAGACATCGGAGTATTTCCATCCATTCCCAAAGGACTTATATTGCAAATGTGCGCCATATTTTCCATGCAAACTAATAACAATAGACTGGACTTTTTTTGTGAGGGGGGCTTTTAAGAGACAGATGATAAAATGGAGCGTTTCAGACAGAGATATATTCAGAAAGACAGTAGAAAAATCAAGTATCTTTTGCCCTTTATTAAAATTAGCCGTAGCGTGACCTCAGCTTTCCAAAGATATTCTCCTTATTTAGCCTGCATTTTCAGGCATTGAAGAAATAGGCTCGAAACATGAAAATGTCACTAAAACTAAGACGTTCTTGGACATGGACTTATGCCAAAATAACTGAGTTATCCAGATGACTCAATCAACCTTCTTCTTCTTCTTCACGAAGCACTTAAACTAATCCAGACTTTCATGACGTAAACCAACTGAAATTATATTTGTTTTGTCATTGAGCTGACTCTGTAAAGGACCTTTCATGAGATGCAGTCAAGACGTGAAATGGATAATCAGTAAGTGTAGATGAGTTTGAGTTTTACCACTTAAAGGTGGGGTAGGTAATTTTGGAGAAACCAGCTCGAGTGCACAAGAATTTGAAAATACACAGCCGGAACAAATCTGCCACTTCCTTACAGAGCCCCTCCTCCAACACACACGAACGCGCACATGACCAATGAGGGCACGAGATAAGTTTGTGCACAGATGGAAAGCTGACAGGCAGGTAGGCCATCCAGTTATTTTAGCCGGGCCGGTCTTGATTGGTCGTGCTGTTTACAGTACTACGGCTTCCACAGATGAAATGTTGTTATGGATTTTTTGTCAAAGCACTTAAAGGAGAGGTGTCATGGCCATTTCCACTGATCATAATTCCATTGTTGAGGTATACTAAAATAGATTTATATTGTGCATTTTTCCAAACTCACATTGGTTTCTCATACAGCATCTCTGTAAACTACTTGTATTCACTGAATTTCACTCTCTGCCTTTAACGGCTCGTTGTAGCTCCCAAAGCTCCAGCCCCCACCCTCCCTGTGAGCACAGTGTGCTCTGATTGGTCGGGACGTTGTGAATCGCGCTGAGCTCCGTGGAGGTGTTGTTTCCTTGTTTAGGATACATAGCGAAACACAGCCAAACTCATCCTGAGCACACACAAAGTCACAGCCGAAGTAAAAACAACAAGTGTGGCTTGATATTGAGTAAGAAAAAGGTTGATAAACGCTGTGAGAATGGGTCTGCAGAGAGAATTTCGCCGCGATCCCAACTGTCTGTTATCAGCCTGCAGCCAGGGAGGAGAAATCAGCTGAGCTGCTCCCTGCACACAGATGTGTGTGTGAGGAAGTCCGTGGATTGGTCAATTTGGACCAATCAGCGGGGGCTTAACGTAACGGCTCCGTGGACGTAACGTAACGGCTCCACGGATTAGTCCATTTCGTTCCGGGTACGGCTTGACATCATGCCGTCCCGGAAGAATCAAATGGACAATGACGTATCTCCAACGAGGCGTTTTGGGGAGGTATTTTCTGTGTTAGAGTTTTACTCGCTACAGGGTATACTTTGAGGGTTTTGACTCTGCACACCGTTTACATGCATAAAAACCTTCATAACACACAAGGGGACGGGTAATAACCGGAAAAGCATGACACCTCTCCTTTAAGATATTCATTGCTATCGGGATGTTAAGAGCATTCCATGGAATATAACAAAAAGTGTATCTCGAGCCGGTTTCTCAAACGTACCTACCCCACCTTTAATGATTTAAATAAAGTGATCAATGTCAGTTAAAGAAAACAATGACGTTTGTTTTGGATGTTGTCTTACCTGAGCTGTAGCCCAGAGTGGTGACAGCACTCCTCTGAGGCAGCATGCTGTGCATCACACTGACCTCCTTTCTCTAATTCAGACCGAGGAGGCAGGATTCAGCTGGACCCTAGTGCTTTGTTCGCTGAGAGAAAGAAAAGAGGGATCAAGAGGAATATCACATAACATGAAAACACTGTAAAGAAAAGTGGTATACAACTAATGTAGCCTAATCTTACCTATTGGATTCCAAATCAATTCTGTTGGTAACCATTTAATCAGTTAAATTCAAACTTTGTAATACACTCATACTGCAACTTCAGCTAGCAGCATCTTTCAGCAGCAACATATTTAAAGGGCATCACAGGAAGTTGAGTCCATGACTTGCGGTCCCAAAACGTATCCTCTGACAACTCTGCAACAATACCTCGATTCAAGCAGATATTTCAGATGTGCATATTTAAACAGAAATGGAGGAGAAAAAAACATTCCCAAAGACTAAGTAGGAAAACAGATTCAGAGGAAAGTTTTCTGTCTGGCTCAGCGTCCCCAATAAAAACCAAGTCTGAAAAGCAGCAATCTGCACCTAAATCTTTGGTTTAACACCCTGCTCATGACCATTCCTTAAAGTTTTCCCTCAGACCTATTGAGACAGCTGCCAGAGTCAAAGTTCAGGCAGGGTCAATCTGGACTGGGATTGCTTTTAAATATGCATTTTCTAATTCAAACAACATTTTCATCCTGAATCTTTGAGTCCAAATACCAAATGCACATCTTAAAAACTTCAACCTATTGCTTTCTTTTCACAACATTAGGAGTTCAATATATTCTTCCTTTTAGGCTCTTGTGACTTTAGATGTGATTTGTGAAATATAATGAGTACATTATTATTGGGTCATCATAAACAAAGAAAGATTGAATGATGACAAAACCTAAATCCTAGACCCACACTCAGGTCATTACACATGCAATTCAGATTGAGTAAAGTTATCTTCAGTGTCTGATTTTTCAGTCAGACATTACTGCTTCCTGAATCAGAGAAAGAGAGAGAAGACTGATCCAAGATTTTCTGCTCCTGCTGTCTGGAGAGCTGGGCCTCCAGGAAGTAAGGTATCCTTTTACAGTCACACAATCAATCAGCATGAGTTCATTCCCCAGACCTCGTGAAAAAAGGGGAGGGGGAGTGAGCCCCCAGCCTCACGTCAGGAGCAAAAGATTTTACAGCATCACCCAGACAACAGTCCGGCTGGGAAATGCAGATATAAACACAGAGAGATGTAAACAGTTTGAGGAATGGCTTGGAGAAGAAGTGTGGTAACACTGAGGACATACTTTTACTTTGCCTCAGCCTCAAACCGCTGTTGCAAAATGACATTGTTAAGGTGGGAAATCTCACAGATATGCAAACTGAATAAGCTTCAAAGTCAATTAGGCTTACAATTAACAACCAGAGCCCATGGTGATATCTCGAAGTGTCTTAATTTGTCTCACAAGAAAATCCAAAACACAATTTTAAATGATACAAAAGAAATCATCCAGTATTTTTTGGAATTAGTCGTGTCATTTCAGACACAGCAAAATGAACCAACACCTCTTAGCCTCAAAAGCATGTTAGGTGACAATCCATTCCCTAGACATGACACTTTCTTGTGCAACAGCTTGACACATTTGCCACATTCAGTGTTTTTACGCACACGTTCACAGCTCTTCATTTGGCAACAACTGTGCATGCAGTATGATAAACAAAGTATGAGTGTAAATAAGACAAAATGCAGCCATGTGATTCTCCGGGAGCATCACCGTTAGTATCGACCAGGACATTAGGGAGCTGAGTGGATCGACTTCTGCGTAAAAAGAAAATCGACTAACCTTTGCTCTCGGTCTCACTCACATAGTGGGGTTTTCTTATCGCGTCTGCTGCTGCTGGAGCTGAAGTCCTCTCTTCTTATGAAACGAGAAACTAAAGTCTTCCCATGACAAAGGATCAGACAGCAGACCCTTCCCCTTGCTTCCCCTCCCACCTCAACTTTTAGCTCACTCTCCTCCCCAGGAGAGTGAAAAGGGTGGAGGGGGGAGTGTGTGGCATGCATCAGGCGCTTCTGCTGCCCCTCCCTGGTTAGATAGAAAATTGCTCATGTGAAGAGAGCAACAAGATGAGCCTTAAATAGGACATATTAAGCTTGTTTTCCGGTTCATATTTTTATTTATTTCCTCTGCTGTGGCATGTATGCTTTAATGTTCAAAAAGCTATTTATTTTTCTCATTCTGCCTCTGCTAAAGCACCTCTTTCACCCTCTGTCTGAAACCAGAGCCCAGTTTGCTCTGATTGGCTGGCTGGCTCTGTTGTGATTGGTCAACCACTTAGAGGTGTTCCGCCCCTTAGCCTATCACCTACAATGTGTTGGAGCACTAGCCAAAAGAAGTGCAATGTTACATAGTGATGTCACAATGATCAATAATCTGCAGTATCATGTTGTTACTATGTCATATTACAGCATGCAGATTTCAGTGATTTACTGTGAATCTGTACCTGTCTCTGATCTCCATGATCTGTACTCTCTTTACTTCACATAATGTCCACAATGGCAACAGTTTTCTTGTCTGCTTGTTTGTTCACACAGTGAAATAACTAAACTCTCCCCTTTTCTCACACAGAGGAGTCTTACCACATTGTGGGTTTTCTATAGTGGAAAAAGCAAGAGCAGGCATTACAGTTGTAAAGTTGACTCTCAGATTGTTGTTTCAGCAGTATGTGAAGGCGGGAGGAGGCCCCATCGTTGTGTTTGAAACAGAGCCAACCTCACTCCCCCTGTGAAGCCAAGTCGAAACCCCTCACAGTCAGACACTGAGAAACACTACCCATACTGCAACCCCGAAGATATTTAATATTCGGGTCATTCTTTGATCTAAAAGATTTTCAACAATGAAAAACAGCATGCGTGGTTAATACAAGAGAAAAAAAGCAGATGATAAATTTGAAAGTTCAGGGACTAGAATGAATGCAAAATCACTTTGGAAAAGTCCCCTGAATCCCACTGAAAATCTTAAACCTTCATGCAACAAAACTTCAATTACATCATAGGGAGGGGGCTGCGGAGTGCAGCCTGGACTAGATGATTACTTCCAGACTCAGAGCCGGGGTCTTTGTCATAAAAACCCACATATGTGCAGGCGCACACACATACACACGTCTGTCAGCCTCACTCTTTCATTCCTTCACATATCAGGAAAGTAAAATGACACCTAAATCTCAGGAGGGTCTCATTTGAAAACTGGGACACTGTATTACCAACACATTGATTTAACAGTCATAGTGCTGGAATGTCATTCCACTTCCTGCCAAAAAAAGTGTGTTTTTTTTTTTTAAGTTAAGATTTGAAAGTATACACACCACTATTTGCTGCAAACTGTTGTGTGTGTATGCGTTACTTTTTGGACGAAAATGAAACCATGTGTAGAGCGAATCTACTGTAGAGATTCTGACTGCAGGCTGTGGAAAAACCAGGGAGGAGGGGAGACCGATGGAAGAGAAATTAGTGTCAGATTGTGGGAATGGGTGTACATTCAACTCGGGTAATTGTTGGAAGGTCTGAGTCACAGCGTGAAAAGTCTCAAATATCTCTCCCAATCGCAAGAGGCCAAAGTCAATAGGCAATTTTAGGTGTTAAATCTTTTTGTTTTCCTTAAACTGGACTATTCCCTTGTTGATTCACCTTGTTCTGTCTCGTTTTTTCCACCTGCCCCTGGATACAAGGGGCAAAAAACTTGACTCCCAAACTATTTTAACTTGGAAACACCATTAATCTTAAAATGTGTATTTACTCATATCAGCTCCTACAACCACTCAAGACAAACTAACCATTTGTGAAGCGTTTTTGTGGACTCACCCCTACAGTTCATAAAGATAATAAACAGGATGTAGGCCTATGGTGAATACAACCCACACCACAGCTGTTTGCATTGTTTCTCTAGATGACTAGCTTCAGTTTGATATGAAAACTGTTTTAAGGTCCACTAGAAACCACAAAACAAGATGTTTGAGAGTTTGTTCCGCCACTGAGCCTGTAATTATATGGCTGTGGTGTGATGTAGGCTCAGTTTGACAGACAATTCAATCATGTCCCCTTTTATTGTGGCAATTTGTTCATTGTCGCAAATCACTCAAATTGCCAGAATAAAGAGGGACATGATTTAATTGTAAAACTCGATGTCCAAACACGCTTTTTGTGGTTTATTTAAGATTAGAAAGCAGATAAGTTGCTCCACTGTTTAGTTCAGTGTTCACTATCGCTCACTTGGTTTATATTAGCAATTGTTGTTTTTCTGTATGCTGATGCACATGGTGATCTGTAAAATGCTTGAGCTGGATGTCTGCTTAGTGAAGCCTCCTTACTCATCCCCCTGAAGATAGCAACAGCTGAAGTGAGTAGGGGGGAATACCCATAGAGGCATATTTGTGCACTCTGAAATGAATCATGTTTCATATGCTTCTGTTTCATTATGAAAGACTATAATCAACCTTGAATGTTTGAGATTTTAGAAAGTGGGTCTGGAAAAATAACATGGCAAAGGTGACAACGGATCAGAACATTTTGCAATAGGCACATTTTTATTTTTAAGGCAGGAAAACAAGCTTACACTCAAAGTAAATATATCATATCAATAATGTTTTTTCACAGTATATGGAACAGTTACTGCCCCCATGATAAAGACATTGCTTTTAGTGACACAGATTCCCAGGTGTGATCTGGATGTGTCTGTTTTTGGACGTGGTTTATCCTCCACTGCATGTTGCCCATTCATGGCCATAAAATGAAATTACTTGAAGTTCATGATGTATGAACAGGCTCTATGTTTTCAAACTCTTCCCTCTCTACACTACAGGATGGCTTTCCATCATTTCCCTCCACAAGGGGGCCGACTGGATTTTCTTCTTGCTCTTCTTCAGTAGCTTCTGGTAAAGCCTCAGTATCGTCCTTGGCTGTGTTTGGTGTGCAACCCGCCAGTTCATCCTGCGCTTCAAACTTTATCTGTGTTCCGTTGCATTCATCTCCGTGTGGTCCGATTATGTATCTAGCTGTGGTGTTCAGATGTTTGTGAAGCCCATCTTCAACAAAACCTGCTCCATTGTATCTTTGTGAGGCTCTTCTGGCCTTCAGTGCTGCACCAGAGAAAGTGGGTTATTAATTGCATGTAATATTGGGCTGTAATTGAATCGATGAGTTGAGCACAATTTATATTGTTTACTTACAGTACTACTGTCATTTGTTTTTTTTGATAAGCGGCAGTACCTCTAAATACTGCTTTATTTTTTATTACAATTTGGTGAAACTTTGACTATATCAGCTAAGGAAATTCACACGTTGTTGATATAGAGTCCAGACAGTACCAATATTTGGCCAGAAATAAAGCAAAGTCAGTGATATTATTCCTAAACATTTTGGGTCAATCTCTCCTAACAGCCTATAGATGCTGTTACAGCAAAAAGATCATTTCATATAATCAAAAGTCTTCAACTCTTATAGAAATATCCCCCATAAATCAGCACTTTGTACTTTGAATCAAATCTGGATCCAGATGCAGTTTAACTTGTAAACAACTTTTCAACCATCCAAAAATGCTAAATAATTATAATGCAGTGTTGGGGGTTTGCTCTCTTTGAACCTTTTCTTAGTTCATAATATTACAATAAAAAAAGGAGACAATGCTGAATTAAAACAGCTTTGAACTGTACAATTAGCCATCCGAGCTACATTTTTCATCACTCACTTTTCATCACCTACTGTATCTTTTTTTTTAAATACTACAGAGTGAATATCGTACATACCCTTTTGTCTCGCACATTGAGGGAGGGCCAATGTGATGGTGAACAAGAAAAAACCTACAGAAGCTGCGGTGCTCCACCATGACCTCTGCACACTCTGATCGTCCACAACTGCAAAACAAATGTACAACCATTGTTTCCATATTACTTGATTTACTGGATTTATTGAACCAACATCTCCAGTGAAAAATAAATCTAATACTCACTTATTGATGCAACAGTGATGTTAACTTTAGTTTGGATGATGTGTCTGCTCTGCAGGCCTGAGAGGGTGCAGGTGTACGTCCCAGAGTGCTCCTCGATGTCTGGCTTGAGCAGCAGAAGTGATCCGTCGCCCAGCAACAGCAGATCCTGGTCCAGTTCAGCCTGACCCTCCCACAGGTTGAAGCTGTGTCTGGTTTTTGTGTCATATCTCAAGATCACTGTGTGCTCAGTGGAAGAGGTGAAGGTCCAGGTGAGGGAGAAGTTCTGTGAATTGTCGAGGGCGATGCACGGGATGGACAGAGCGAGACCCTCTTCCTGTATTATACCCTCTGACAGACAACAAATAAACATGTGTTTACTTTAATTTATAAGAAGTACAATTTAAATGATATCTCATTGAGTAAGAAAACACACCTTGGTTTTTCCAAGAGGCAATCCACACCTGGGTCTTGTCAGCCGCTATGAAAGAGCAGAAGTAGGTATAGTTGGAGAGATTACCCAGAATCCTCAGGGTGCTCTCCACATTGAACAGACCCTTATGGTCTGTGGTTTTTATGGTAGAGTTTTCCAGAGCTTCCTGGGCAGAGGGAGGGTCTGTGGCCCACGTGACCTGAGGGACCGGGTAGATGTTGTAAGAGGAGCAGGTGACCGTCTCTTCAGTCATCTCCATGATTACTGACTGGATGACAGCTGGGAGGAACAAAATACAACATTGTGGATATTTAATGAGGATATGATTACATTTTTCAGACAGGATTATAAAAACGTGAACTGAGGCTCATTAAAGTAAGCAGGGCGACGAAAACGGTCTGGTGAAGCAGGATTTCTGCATGTTGTTCTGTCACTCATACAAAGTTATATTTAACGTTTCTCATTCCATTTACAGTGGTCTCAATTTGCTCCTTCTTTCAACATTTATTGTCTTTTAATTAAAGCTCTGATCTAATGATAATAATAGATTACATTTTTATATCGCCTTTCAAGGGACTCAA